TCCCTCCCGCCCCTGCCCAGCGCCTCGGCCCACCCGCGAGGGGGCGGAATCCGCCCGGCACACACGTGTGCGGATTATTAAGCAGCCCGGGCACAGCCGCTGCCGGCTCCACACAGCGACCCCTGTTAATTGCGGGGGAAGGGCGCTTGGAGCGCGCGGAGCCGCGGGGAACCCAGAATGCGCTCAGAGGACGAGCTGCTGGCCAGGGTTGCGAGGCGGCCCTGCCCCCAGACGGGCCCTGTGGCCAAGGGGAAGGAGCGGGAAGTTTTGCGGAGTTGCATGGAAGGTGTTTCTTTCCAAGCAGGCGTTTGACTGGGCAAACCCGGGTTCTGTTCCCAGGCCCCTGCCCCAAACAGCGGCACAGACCTGCGCACACCCCCCAGGCACAGCCAGCCAGCCCTCTTGACGCTCGACTTTTCCTGCTTCGCCTCTCTGTTCCCAGCCAGCCCAGTGCACCCTCCCCTGCGCGGCGACCGTGCCTCCGCGGAGGCTTGGACGGCGGTGCGCAAGGCAGGGGTGTCTGGACCGAAGTGGGCAAATGGGCAGAGGGTCGGTGTTCGCGGAAAGCTGCCCAATCCTGAGCCATCTTGAGCTCCGTTTGTGCTCCCTGGGATCTCGGGGCGCCTTCCCACAGACACCTCTTTATAAGGGTGGGTGCTTGCACAGAGGCGCTGGTGCCCAGCGGCCAGCCCTCAGCCAGTCCCGGACCCCAGGGGAGAGGAGCCGTCCTCTGCCTCTCCCTCCCCGGGCCAGCCCACCTGGAGTTTCCTAATGGAACCAGACGGCCCTCCTTCGCCCTGTCAATCACCCTTGAATCTGGAACACTGAAGGAATAGAAAATGGGTGGAAAAAGAAGATGGAAGAATCTAGAGAAGAAAGGCAATTTTTATGTGGGTAAAGGGCAAATGGTCATTAAAAACAAACCCTTTAAGATTCGACTCCATTCTTCAAAAAGGAAAAGAGAAACATATCTGTCTAGACGTAGACATTTCCACGAGTGGGACGAGGGGCGCTGATGGACAGGGGAGAGTCCGAGGAGGCTACGGCGCGGAATGCGGGCAGAGCGCGCACTGCCCGATGTGAAGGTCCTTCAGGACCCCCTCTCCGTCCATCCCACCCCTCTCCATTCTCGTAATCAAGGGGGAGCTTGTTTTCTCTCCGGGAGAACAGACAGGCGCAGGAGCGACGGCCAGCCCCGGGCTGCAGGCTGCGGACTAGTCCGGGAGGAGCATTCCCGAACTCGTGTCAAGGAGAACCCCAAGTTCACCGAGCCCCAAGCCCCAGGCACGACCCGGGGGCTCCTTCCCCCACCGGGTGGCCAGGGCAAGAGCCCTGCGGCCTCTGAGGGGAACCCCGTCCAGGGCTCCCTGCTTCCCTCGCGCACCCCGCCAGCTCCTTCCAACTTGCAGGAGCGAAGTCCGGGGAGCGGCAGGCGGGGCGACCTGACCGAGGCAGCCCTCAGCCCTCGCCCGGGAGCTGGAGGGGAAGGCGGGCAGCGGGCCGGGCGAGGGCGCGGGGCGCCGGGCCCCAGCAGCCCCCGGGGGAGCCACAACTTGGGGGGCCGGCGTCGCCCGGCCACTTTCCCCGCGGTTCCGGGCCGGGGTTCCGAAGTCCCGGGCACCTCCCCGGCCGGCGGCCCGTGTGCCACCCACCTCGAAGCAGCGGCGCCCAGGTCGGGGCTGGCCGCGCTCCCCGGCCCTCCGCGCCGCCCGCAGGCTGCGGAGCCAGCCCGGCGAGGGAGGGAGGGGGCGCGGGGGCGCGGCGGGGGCGCTGCGCGGGGAGCCGCGAGGGGGGCTCGGCCCGGGGCGCCGCGTCCCCGCGTCCGCGGCGGAGGCGCCCAGCCGCCGGCCCGGCCCCGGCCCTCCAAGGCGCACACCCGCGTCCGCGATCGGGCCTCGCAGGGCCGGCCCAGCGCCCCGCGGGCGAGCCGGCCGCCTTACCCGTAGCTGCGGCGCGGAGCCCCGCGCCCAGCAGCAGCAGCAGCAGCAGCGCCGGGAGCGGGAGCGGCGGCTTGGGTCTCCCCCGCGCAGTCATGTCCGCAGATAATCCACACGCGCGCGACACGCCGGCTCTTCGCGGATGGGCCGTCTCCTCCGGGGCTCGGCAGGGCTGCGCGCGGAGCCCGGGAATCACCGGCGGGCAGGGCGAGCCGCGGAGAGCAGGGTCCCCGGAGCGGCCGCGCATCGACGCCTCCCGCAGGTCTGCGCGCCCGGCTCGCCTGGCTCCGCTAGCATCGGTCCCGGGCCGCTGCAGGGGGCTGAGCGCCACGGCGGGCTGCCGGGCCGGGCCGGGCCGGGGACGAGCGCCGCGAGCCGGGCAGGAAGGCGGCGCGGCGGCGCGGCTGCGGGAGGGGGCGGCGCGGCGGGGAGGGAGCGCGCGGCGGAGCCGGGAGCCCGGGCGGCTGGAGCGCCTCCGAGTGGGAGCCGGGAGGGCGGGGCGGGGGAGGAGGGCGCGCCGGGCGGGGAGCGCTCGGCCCGCCGCTGTGCTAGCGGCTCCGGGAGCCGCCGCCGCCGCCGCGCGGGCTGGACGCAACCATCCCTGCCCACGGAGAGGGGAAGGAGGCTGCACGGCGCAATCCCAGACAGCCCGGCCGCCCGCGGGCTCCCGCGCCGCCGCGCTGCGCTCCGCTCGGCCTCCGTGGGGGCAGGAGACTTGCTGGCGCTCGGCGGGGGGACTCCCACGCCACACTGGGGGGGCAGGCGGCGCGCCCCGGCAGCTCCAGAAACTAGGGTGTTCTGCGGGGCCAGAGGCGGGCCTGCCCCCCGGCTGGGGTCTTCCGTTGCCCAGCGGAGAACAGCCCCCTTGCATAACTTGGCAAAGAAATGCAGGTGGAGAGAGCCGGTGAGCTCTAACTCCAGGCAGAAAACATCAACCTTATTTTTAGACACCGTCGTTGGCAAGACGACTGTGTGCAAGAGTTGCAACGATATTCCTATTTCCTGATTTAGGCTCTCAGGGTATCTACACCCAAACTCAGGTTCAGATGAAATTCAGAATTGGGAAGAGGATGTAGAACTGATAAGTGTGGCCTGCTTGTGGGCGAGGGCATGCTGGCACCGCTTCAGGTGGAACTCCGTGTCACACCCAGCGGGCTGCGTTAGGACTGAAGGAGAGAAGAGCTTCTTCCTGAATCTGCTAAGGGATGAAGCCGAAAGAGGGAGTGGAGCCCCCCAGCAGTTGCTAGAATGAACCACTTCCCCAGCTCCCCAAATAGAGGAGATATTCCTGTCATCTCTGGGGAACATGAAAGGCGAAGCGTTTTAGGGAAGATGTTGGGTTCACTGAAAAACAGGGGGCCGTAGCTGAGTGCTGACATTCACAGGGGGGCCTTTAAGGGATCCACCGTTCATGACCAGTCAGGTTTAGGTGACTTCCTCAGAGGGTGCAGGGACCAGAACAGGGGGCGTCCCACACCCTGGTAAGGGAGGATTAAGCCCTGTGTCTGCCCACATGACTGGCACCCCGACGACACTGAGCGCCGGACCATCCTCGCCACTAAATGGTTTTGGTGGGATGAAGAGCAATGGTTGGTCGGTCGCTGCTCACGGGGCCCCCATTCCACCTGCATTTTATCTGCATCAGTCTTCAGGATTGGCTGGGTTGACAACCTCATGTTTTATATCCGTGACTTATTTTCCTTCCATTCCCTTCGCCCCAGTGGTCTCCAGGCTGCATGAGAATCCAGAGTGAAAGGCTACCATGAAAGTGAACCACCAGAGCCACCCCGGACCTGGGGCGGCAGAAAGTCCCACGCCTCCCACAGGGGATGCGCTTCTAAATATGCGGGGCCGACTTTGCTTCTCCGAAACCCGCAGCCCTAGACATAACGCGATTGCCCACAGTCGGAGCCCTATTTAGCCTCGGTATCCATGGAGGGAGACTAAGAAGGCAGAATGGCTCTGTCTTCAGGGAATTCCCAGCCGAGCCCGTGGACTCTACTCTGTAGGCTGAACCAGGCAGGTTGAGTGGAGGGTCGCCCCCTCGGTGATTTGAAATCAGACCCCAGATCATACCTTAACTCAGCAAGTGAACAAAAAATGCTTAATTAAAAAAATTAAGTGCTCCAGTTGTTCATTTTCAGCTCATCAGAAAAAAAAAAATTGATCTCTTTGAGGACGTACGGAACTGACTTCTTAAGAAACGGTGTCTTGTCATTTTCTAATGACTCGTGTCACCAAGAAGGGTTTCTGGCATTAAAAAAGGTTTCCAAAATCTCGCCTTTCTGGACTGGGACTCATCGATGATGTTTACTTGATTAGGATACCAGTCAGCAACAGCGAATGTCACCTGTGAAACAGAACGCTTTCACACACAGGTGACAGGCTCCACCCTGGATTTCAGCTTCCTCGGGCTTGTCCTTAATGCCACCTCTTTGTCAGGGTACAAAAAAACCTATTTGATTCCCACCTTTGAGAAATAGTGGCCCCAGGTACCAGCACCTCTCCATTTTTGCTGATATTTATATGGGGGCACTGTTTTTGGCCAGATCATGTATCAGAGACTCACAGCGATTCATGCCAGATTGTTTCTTGATCGTACGTTAGAAGAAAGTGGGGATGGCTGTCAAATAAGAGAGGCTGGTTTTGTAATATGCTTGTATTTGTGTGTCATTTCTGCGATATATCCCCCCCAAGATCTCAAGGCGAGATTCATTCCAGAGAACATGTGGCACTGCTGCCATCTAGCGTCAGCCTTTGTTTTCTGAGCGTTTGCAGAGGAATCGGTGGCCCTTGTGGCGTCTCATCTCCCATCTGAGGTTACCTACTTGGGTTTAAAAGTCCCTCAGAACACTCCACGTCCTTCATGTAATCAGGGTGCAGAGAAAGCCTATTATTCGTTTCCTAGAGACTGGTCCCCCTTTGATTTTTAAATGAATGTGAAATCTTCAATGTAGATCACAACCTAATGCCCATTATTTGGAGCAGAATTTACCAAATGGGATTAGAGTGAGTACAGGGCTGTGTGTGGGGAATTCACACCAGGCAGCCATGTGGCTGCTTCTCCGCACAGCCAGCAGAACACCGTACTTCTGCGTGGAGCTTTTACACTGTTCCGGGTTCAGACACGACGTGCTACCGTCCGCAGGCGGGGAATTCCGGCTGGGCAGCACTACAAGTGTTACTGGCACTCAGGAATGAGAGGGAACAGCAAAGTGAGGGAAGGCAAAGGGGTCTGACATGCGGAATAAAGGCAGCGCTAAAATCATGTGACGACTAAATGAAGACTCAGCCAGAGACGTGACCATATAAACGTGTGTAAAGTCCTCTAACCGCGCAGGGAGAAGGGTGTTAAGTGAAATCATCTGAGGAGGGGGCAGAGGCTATAAACAGAACATTTGAGATAACATTAGAAATTAAGAACTTTGCAACAACTGAGAGTGTTAATTAGGTGTAAAAATTGCACATGGATGAAATCCTTGAGAATATCATGTATGGCCATGATCACTAGGTGGGAGAGTATTTAGCTTATTTAATGTCATGTTAAATGAACATCGATGTTGACTATGGAATCGGGGACATTCTTTCCTTGATAGAGGGATTTACTATTAGGGTCATATGATTCACGTCTCCCTAAATGCAATTTCTATCTTCAGGGAACAAGAAGTAAGTGGGACCTCTAGGAATAAAACCAGAGGTCAGGACCCTCGCGTTCTCTTGGCAAAAGCCTTTCACACATCCTCACAGTGGCATCACCGTTGTCAACAAGGAGGAAATGCTGACTTTGAGAAATTCAAGAATTTGCAGGTCACACCTTACTAAGGCCCAGACAGTGAATCACACTCAGGCCTTTTGCTGCATAACATTTAAAAACCATCCCTGCTGCCCACCCTGCTCCATGGAGCACCCATGCTTACACTCCTGCGTCTGTAACACTGGTGTCTCTACTGCAGTTGCTTGTTTAGAAACAGAGCCAGACATGGACAGAGCACCCCTTCAATGACTGCAGGCACACATTCTGTCCCGTGTTCAGGGAGCATCCCCCAGGGGAGACCATTTGCTAGGCCATTAAATGAGAGGGATTCTGTGGCCATTTCCAACTGCTTAGTCATGCATATCTCGATTTTTCAAAGGCTTCTCACTGACTGGCTTTAAAATAAATAAACTGAACATGTTTCCATGTTTTTCTAATACAGTAACACCTTTAAATGTGTACACACACACACACACACACACATCTGTACACACAAGGAGAGCATCTTTCTTTTGTTGACGTATAAACAGAAGGCAAAGAACATCAGGACGATGTAGAGAATTGAGGTGTGTCAAATAAGGCCGAGTCAGGGGACAGACCATCCTATAAATGACCCACTGAGAAGAAGGACAGAACTGTGAATTTTCTCCTTTCACAAATGGGCAACTAAATCCAAGGAGCCACACTTGGGCAGCAGAGTGACAGGGTAGGCATCGAGGGGCAGATGGCTGACCCCAAGCCCAGAGCTTCTGGTCCAGCACGTCTGGATGGGGCCCAAGGACTTACATTTCTAAGGTGCTTCCAGGAGACGCAGAAGCACGCTGGGACCACCCCCGAGAACCCCTGGTATGAGGGCTTGGCTTTGGTGTCAAAAGACCTGCTATGAATACCACATCCATCACTTTCTAAACAAGGAACCTTAATAAAAAAAAAAAACAACCTAATCTAAGTGTAAGTTTGCTCATCTGAAAAGGTGGAAAGTGATATTTACCTCATAGATCTGTTGGAAAAATCAACAACACAGGCACACGGCTGCTATATAGCAAAAGTCTCAAAAACGTATTTTCCTTTTCTCTGCAGCCCATCTCTGCAGGAGGACCGAAGAAGAAACCCAGGTAGAGAAAGCCTTCCCCGCCTGCTCCGGCCCATGACTTAGGAGGGGCAAACGGGATTTAGGGGCGGAACATGAAACACACTCAACCCCTCCCGGTTTGTGTCAGGGTGAATCCCGCAGGAATCTGTGTGTGGAAAACCGCAAGTTTACTGACTATGACTTTTAAGATCAGCTTGAAAGGCTGTCTCACACTGGCTCTTACCCAGGGCTCGCAGAGTGAGTGAACTTGAAAAGCTCAGTCCGGAACTGGGCGGGGTGGCATTCTGCATGCCCATCGATAATGCATTCGTCTTGCACTGAAGCAAAATGAGGGCAGGGACGCTTTGCTAGCTATCGGCCCCGTCTCATCCTGAGCTCCTCGGGTCAGGGAGGGCCGGCTCTGCCGCCCCTGCAGTACTGAACACGATCACGGAAACACACAGACGCGGATCTGGCTTCCGTGCCCTGGAGGCCACGAGGCTGGGGATGTTTTTC